CATTCCTTCTTGAAATGTCCGGCCTTTCCGCAATAGAAACAGGATCTTTCCTCATTTTTAACACTGAGCTGCCCTTGCTCAATCCACGGACAGCTTTGAACCGTGTGGTTCTTGCTTCCGCACTTGGCACATGCTCCAGCCATTTTCCAGCATGTACCCCCGTGCTTCTTTCTGTAAGTCGCACATTCCCCTTGTTTAGCCGAGGCTTGACCGCATTCACCGACCTGATCCCATTTCTCTTTCCTGTTATCCACGATCTTACTCGCTAGGTGGGGACGTGTCGGGGCTCTTTCCTTATTTTCTTCTTCAATACTAGACTAAACAGCCGCAGCCCGTTCCACTAATTCCGCAACCGATCTGAAGGTGCGTAAGGAGCAATGGGTTCGGAGGTCTCCTCTTAAGCCGCGGAGGAATCGCCGGATCTGTGTATCCTCCTTCACCAATTCCCCTCCAACACACCGTCGAAGACGGTTGAATTCCACCTCATACTCCCGGACAGTCCGGTTTCCTTGTGTTAAATCCAGGAATTGCTGTTCAAGTCTATCCCAAGCTTCCGAGGGAAAGTACTTTTGGTTGAACTCCTCCTCAAACTCGGCAAAAGTGTCAATTCCTCCCGAGCGTTTTTCCACGGAGACCCACCAATTATGCGCATCCCCTTCAAGATAGTGGACCGCAATGTCCTTCTTGTAACCTTCCGGGCACCTTGTGGATCGAAAATTCCTGATTAGGCGGTTTCTCCATTCATCTTCCTCGATCGGGTCGGAGCTACCCCGGAATTGCCTAGTTCCAAGCCTGGCCACGTGGTCCAACACGACCAGATAGTCCACCTTCCTTGCTGGCTTAGCCGGTGATGAGTCGAGTTCCACCACCTCCACAGCCATGCCTTCCTTCTCTTCTACAATTGGAATGGCCGTACGGATCCTTGTGGATTGCCCATCGGACAGGTTTCTCGCTGGTGCTGCAGCTTGACTCAAGACCGTCAGTTGCGTCATAATAGTTTGGAGTGTTTGCCACATCTCCGCAGGAGTAGGTACTGCGGTCTGGTTTCCCATTCCAGCCGCCACACCTTCCTTATTTCCAGCACCTTTATCTGATGTCTCGGCAAAATCCTCACGATTCATTGCCTCACGACCATCCTGATCGCCCATCAGCCTCTTCCCATTATCCACGACCTTGGTCTGTCCATGCACGACCGAATTCCCGTTGCCCTTTTCTCTTTCCCCAGCCTCAGGTCCAGTGGGGTTGAGAGCAGATGGATCCGCCGAATTGACCTGACTTGTTTCGGCCGTCTCTTTATTCTTTTTACTTTTCCCCGTCTTGTTGCTTTTACCCATCTGCAGAAATCATTTAGTTAGTGCCCCCTAACTATTACCAGGATTCCTAGACAAGTCTAAGCAACAACCTAGCGCGAAACTTTTTTAGCCGATGAATGGTGTACCCAAAACCCAACACTAAACCGTCCTAGGAGCAAGCATGCTCTGATACCAACTTGAAACACCCCATCCCGGACTCTAAGCCCGTGGAGGTTGTTCCCGGTCGGACCGCTATACGGCTCCGACCCCATCAGTCCATTTTAGGGTCTAGTCCTTTATTTAATCCATGTTCGATGTATGTATTCTGAGATTCACTAACTTAGAGTCGATATGTAATAAACAAGTAAGAGAACATATATTTTATTGATATAATAAAGGATTCAATACAACTTAAGAGTTTGCATATAAGCTATTATAAGTTCGCATGATCCTAACTATCTGTTCTATCACACCACCCATCATCCTTGGCCAAACGGTCCGCGCGCCTATCCTTTATCCTTTCCGCGTTCATCGCTTTCTGTAAACCAACATCATAAGTACACGCTATTTTGGCTAAGTATTATTCATGCACATGTATGCGTTTTATGCTCATGATTCCCAGACCCTTTTTGTTAACCCACGGTAATCTATTTTTCTGATCCGGATCATGGGTCTCGGTAAGATTGGCCCCGCCTATCAAAACCGCTCGCCAGCCACGCCGACCAGATCCGAACTATACTACATAACCGTTCGCGCACTATCGCTGGCCCAAATCTCAATTCCATGGCCGGCCACTTGTTGGGATTTCAGCCGGGTCACACAAACGGATCAGCCTAGCCCATACTTGGGCCGATTGTTTAATGCACCGGTGAAACACTTATCGGTTCGGCCGAGACTTACCTTCTGATCGGCCTAGCCCATACTTTGGCCGATCATCAGATTCGCCCAGCGGACTGACAATTTAACCGCGCACGCTTACAACTATAACACGTACCTTTTGTCACTTGTGGTCGGATTGCCTTCGCCGCACTTATCACTTCCCTTCTTTCTCTGCGACCCGCACCAGCCGCTCCAGTCGGTTTCTCTTACCGCCGGACAGGTTATTTATCTTTCCCGGTTTGCCTTATTCTCACGGTTTGGTAGAGATTTGGGCAGAGTTTCTCTCCCTATTTGTGCGTATCCAAAAATATGGCCCAAGGGGTCTATTTATAGATTTTCCCTTGTTGTAACCGTTTTGGCCGAACAGGCGCGAGTTGTTGGCCGAACGGGTGCATTGATTGGGCGCTTAGGCTTTGCAACCCTTCGGTCATAACTGCCCATAACCACCCCAGTCCAGCTAGTTCACTTGTCACTCAGCTAGACCAACTGTCTTATTCGTAATCCAGCTGAACTGAGCTTTCCGGCAGCTGGTCCAGCTAGCTTAGCTCACCCTTCCAACTCATCTTAGCTCAATCCTCCTTACTGAGCTATCTCTCTCTCTTTTTCCTGGCTAAGTTCCACAAAAACTAAACTTAACCATCATTCCGGACCATGGCTCATATTTTCCTTAGACTCTCGGTCATTATTCTCCACTTCAAGGCCATGGTCCGTCTCGACGATCCTATTGCTGATCGGGGACGTTACAAAAACCCCACAAAGACGAGTCTGAAGAATAAGAGTTGGTATCCAGGCCCTGTAATACACATAACACAAAACTAGGGTTTCAGATTTGCAAGTCCAGGTTGTTTCTTGGCCGAGAAGATACAGCGATAACTTTCACGATTTACCTGTGAAACTGAATCTGAAAGTTGATCTGGAGATCGAAATCTGAGATGTACAGATTGGTTTGTGGATTGCTATCTGAATCCTTCTGGATCGATGGCAAAGCCTCTCACAATTTGGCTCTGCCAAACTAAAAAAATCAGATTTTGCAAAAAAACTGATTTTTTGCCAACTTCCAGCTCACATAAAAAACGGAGCGTACCTCGGAATTATGATCTGTAAACTGTTATGGATTCCTTGCAGCAAGATCTTTCCATAGGTATGAAGATCGACACTTAGCTCGATCTGAGTTGCTGGCAAACGCCACAGTAAAACCCTCACTCGGACAAATATTAAACTGATGTTGCAGAGGTTTTTATAGAGTTTCACTGCGTTAACTCTTTGTTTCTCTCAGAAGAATGAGTCTGCTCTTTATATAGAGAGGGGGGACGAGCTCCCTAGGTATAAAGAATAGAAGAATTGACAAAAATACCTTTACTCATATTTTAAGGCTTTTTTTTTACTCTTGAGCATCAAGAAAATAATACATTATATTATCAGCATCAGTTTTTTTTTTTTTTTTGATGTAAGTTTTGAATAATTTTGTAAGTGATGTCAACAAAAACAATAGTTACATCGATTATTTTAATTGATGTAACCATATATTTTATATTATTTTTATGAAAGTGATGCAAATTATTAGAGATTTGTATCAGTTTTATTTGAATCGATGTCAAAATAATTCTAAATAAAATCAATTATCGTAACTGATGTTAATTAACATATTTTCAATCATTTGTTAATAAGTAATTCAAAATAGAATCAATTAATTTGTGATGCGATTTAAGTGATGTAAAATATATTTTTTAAGTGATGTAAAAGTGAATTATTTTTTAAAGTGATGCCAGAAAAAATAATAAACACATCGATTATATTAACTGATGTGAATATATATATTTTAATCACTTTTATTCAAGTGATGTAAAATGAAAGAGTTTTGTATCAATTGTGATTATATGATGTAAAATTAAATCAAATAAAATAACTGATGTATTATTATATCATTTGCTATAAGTAATTCAAAACAAAATTATTTAATTTATGTAACACAAATTAAATGATGTAAAACACATAATTTTTTGTAATGAACAGATGATGTGAAGTGTAAAATAGGTGTTAATAAAAAAAATCATTGTATATAGTCTAAGTAAATTTTTTTTCTTTCAATATATGTGCTTACTTTACAAAACTACCATTTGACTCCAACGTCAAGCACAACTTTGAGTCTTCTACAATGTTTATTCACACTGAGGCATTGAATGGTAACAGCGTTTTTTATAAATGCGGGACGGTATTCATAAATCCGCTTTTATGTTACCAATCATCAAAAATTACTGCAACGGCAATGCATTTTTCTATTTTTAATAAAAAAAATGAATAGTAGAAGTGCAGTTTTAGTTTTATAAACAAAAAGTGAAATCTGCATAGAATAGTAATAACGCTAGGTTCTTGATGCGGTTTCTGTTTTTAAGTGCGATTTAATGTGTTATAACTGAAATTTTTTATAAAGATTAATATACTAACTGTATTTATAAAAATTATGTTAAAACTTTAGAAATAACAAAATTTTTAAAAAATTATTGAGAAAACTCAATACAGTTTTTTTTAAAACAATATGCTTAATCTATTTCTAATCTATAATTTTATTAATACTTTTAATATATTTGTTTTTGAAATATTAAATTATATTATATATATGTTATTTTTTCACTAATTAAATAGTATTTTGCACCACCTATTTTGTATTAAACATATTTATTTATCAAATAGTTTTTTTTTTGTAAGTATAGCGGTTGAATTTCTCCCGCACACAGTTGAATTTTCTCCCGCACCTACCGCAGTTGAATTTCTCCCGTATATACCATAGTTAAATTCTCCCGTACATATCGCAATTATACTGTTCCGCATTTTAAAACCGTTTTTCCCGTACAATCAAATGCTGTCACCATTCGGACCCTCAGAGGTTCTGTGCATTTTTATACATCACCGAGATTTCATCGGACTTCGTTCTTCTCCGATTACTTATCGTTTGTAAGTGAGAAACGGTGATTTTACGACGACGACCATGGAGATCGCTGACAAGACTGATTCGAAGGACGCTAAGGCAACAGATATGGAGTCCCAGATTCTGTCGGCTATGCGGTCTCGCGTTACCTACCTCAGAGAAAAAGCAGAGTATGAATTGTTGCTTCTTTATCTCTCTTCCTCTGAATTATCTGGGTTTTCTTCTGATGTTTTTTCGTCTATATTAATGTTAAGGTTCTCATTGCTTCAATTAGATGAATACTCGAAATTTCCAGTGTGTATGTTGAAATCAGTGAAATCTGGTTAAATCGATGAAATGAAAATCTAGTTTTGAGGATCCTGAAGAGGGGCTCGCTTTCTCCAACATTTAAGATGAGTTTTGATTTGCGGCTCCAAGATAGATTTTACAGTTTCTTGTTTGGTTTTTTTTTTGTAATTTAAACTGTAGGGCAGTTTTTGTGTAGGTTCTTTGAGACATTTGACAGTTTTTAACTTTTAAGGCAGATTTTTTAGCTTTGACTGCACTCCCTGTGATACTAAGAAACTGTCTGTGATGTTTGTTGAAGCGATGAAATGAATATCTCTCCAAAAGATATATTTTACAAATATCTAATTTTCTTTGAGTTTTAAATTCCAGGGCAGACTGTATAACCACTTCTCTAGAATCAGATTTGTGATATTAACTATGTAAACTCTTTTCCTCCGGATTTGACAACCAGTTGAGATGTTCGAGTAGCATTCTGTGTTATTTGAGAACCTTACATGGTAGGTATCTATAAGATTCATTTGGTCTTGATGTAGAGTTTAATTTTTTGTAGGTTCTTTGAGACATTAAAAAGTGTTTTGCTTGAGTAACTAGGCTATATGTTCAGGCTTAAATGTCTTTTCTGATAGTTGTCTGAAATTCTCTAGAATGATTCATAGAAAGCAGAATCATTTGGAAATTTGTTTTGCAGCTCCTTCACATTTGAGAGTGTACGGAGGTTGCTGGAGGAGGATTTGAAATTGGAGAAATATGCTTTGGATGTGCATAAGAGTTTTGTTAAACAACATCTGGTTGAGGTATCTGTTGCTATGGTTAACGCATGAAATAGGGAAGATTTGTTACTCTTAGCTGAACTATTCGACTAAAATGATGCCATATGTTTTCTTGGTGATGACAGTGCCTAGAAGGTGCTGAAGATGATGGCACTGCAGAAAATTCTCAAGAAACAGAGAAGAAAGATGATGTAACTCCAACGAAAGAAGCAGCTAAGTTATCTAAAGAGCACAAGGCAGAAAAAGACGCGAAGGAAGATATGACTGATGAGAAAATGGATGCTTCTCCGGTGATGGGACTTCTGACCGAAGAAAACGCATCCAAACCTGTAGCTGAGGACAGCAAAGAAGTCCTGCAGAGTGAAATAAAGAAAGCCCTTAGGAAAAGGTCTTCTTATATTAAGGCTAATTCAGAGTAAGTTGAGTATCTTACAGAACTTTATTTCTGTATGTTAAGGATTTATTATAGTTTTCTCTTCATTGATTTTGGGAAATGAACTTTACCTGGTTTCAAATCTGCATGCTCTGCTTCAGGAAAATAACAATGGGTTTACTTCGTCGACTTTTGGAGCAAGATCTTAAATTAGAGAAGTATTCTCTTGACCCTTACAAAAAATTCATTAACGAAGAATTGGATGAAGTAAGTAACTAAAATTGATTATGTATCTTTTTAGGTTATAACTCAGATGCATAGTTTCCTAATAGCTTTTTTTGGCTTATTAGGTACTACAAGCTCCTGATGCTACAAAACCTTCAACTGAGGCTAAGAAGAAAACTGTAACGAAGAAGGTCAAGAGCACATCAGCTAAAAAGTTAGGCAGTGAAGATGAAATCTCTAGCTCAGATGGTGAGGACGAAGAAGTCAATGTAAGAAAGAAGACGGCTCAAAAAGGAAAATTATTAAAGCCCGAGGGAACCGGAAAGCGGAAACGTGAAAATAAGAAACTTGCATCTGCGAAAAAGACAAAACAGAAAGATTTACAGAGCGACAGTGAAGAGGGAAATAATGTATCCTCTTCTGAAAAATCTGTGAAGGTATAGAAGCTTTCTTGTAGTTCCTATCTCGGAATACCATTTAAACTGTGTACAACAACTTACTTTGTCTGATTTCTGTTGTTGTTGTCTTTTTATTTCTTTCGACTGTAGAAGCCAGAAACTGCAACGGCTGGGTACGGGAAGCGTGTTGAGCGTCTTAAATCAGTCATCAAATCTTGTGGAATGAGGTTAAAATCAGACCCTCTAGATCTTTACAAAACTGCGTTGGTCCATACTCCAGGCTCTTGATTTATTTTTCTTTCTCTTGGCAGTATTTCTCCATCAGTTTACAGAAAAGCCAAGCAGGCTCCTGAAGAGAAACGTGAGGATACATTGATAAAAGAACTTACGGAGATGCTTGCCAAAGAAGGGTTGTCTTCTAATCCTTCAGAGAAAGGTAATATTTTACATTTAAGAAGTTTCTTTTACCTGTAGCAAAGCGTAGACTCTTTCAAGCTATTCTGTAGTAGAAAACATGCAGACGAAATATTCGGTGTTTAAAACTATTGACAATCTATCTGGCTTAACCCGGTGACAGAGATCAAAGAAGTCAGAAAAAGAAAAGAAATAACAAAGGAGCTTGAGGGTATCGATACAAGCAACATCGTCTCAAGTTCACGGAGAAGATCTAGCGCAAGTTTTGTGCCTCCTCCAAAGCCGAAAAAGACAGAAGAAAGCGAGAGCGATGAATCAGAAGATTCTGAGAATGACGAGGAAGAGGAAGAAGAAGATGGAGAAGAAGAAGAAGAAGAAGAAGAAGAAGAACAAGAACAAGAACAAGAACAAGAACAAGGAGAAGAAGAAGAAGAAAAAGAAGGAGACGAAGAAAAAGAAGAAAAAGAAGGAGATGAAGAAGTGGAAGAAGAAAAAGAAGTAAAAGAAGAAGTGAAAGAAGAGGAAGGAAAACAAGGTGAAGAAGATGGCATGGAGGTAACTCAAACCGGAGGAGAGCCAAAAACTGGTGTGAATCTTACTTGAATCCTGTAAATCATTTTTATCAAGTTTCAGCAAGAGACGTTTTTGGAAAAAAGAAAGAAAAACTGATGGTTTTTTGGTTTGGTTGCAGGGGATGGTGGTGAAGAGGAAGGCGCATGATTTTACGATCTCTGACTTTTCTTAGCTTTGTCGCAGGAGCAATGTAGCTTAGTTTTATCTATGTTGTGATATTTTGTACTCTGTTTAAGTGTTCATCATAATCATGATAATAGTCATAGGATATGAATTTTAAGACATGCATTATGTAATACTGGATTAGAATCGACTTAAATTTATAATGGACATGATTTTACCAAAAACTGGATGATGTATTTATTTACTCATTTACCGGTTAAAGATGAGAGCTCCGTTGGCCATCCTTCTTTTCAGAATTGGAAATCTTTCGGACATTATGAGAAAGCTTTTTGGACTTTACTTTCTCTCATATCCCCAGGAGTTCAAATGTCCGTGCGGATAGTCTAGCGAAAGGAGCTCGAGCAAAAGGCTTTATCTTTTCCCAAATCATTCATAACGAGTCAGTTGCGGGGGGTTTTCGAACCATTCCCTTAACGGACCAATAGTGATGTAATAGTTAGGTAGTGAAAAAAAAAAAAAAAAAAAGATGAGAGCTCTGTCATGAAAATAAAAAAATATGAGAACTATTTTACTGTAAAACGTTGATAATAACGCCTGAGAAATATAGAGTGAGAGACCTCTTTTACATCTTGTCATCTTGAGACAATTCTATTTCCTTTTTTGTTCCACCAAATCTTCAATTTGTTCTAATATCTGCAACAGTTTGCTTTTGAGGTTCTGATATATAGATTTGAATGTTTTCCATGCATCATCATGAAATTTCTACTTTTTAGCTTTCGCTTTCTTCACTCTTAAATAACTATGATTTGCAAGATCCAACACCAATATTCTTTGTACGCATATTTGCTTTGGTACTATCTCCATGACCTTCACAATGAGATCTTCACATGGTTATAGAATGCTTCATTTACTCATCTATACCAACTGTAAAACAAAGAACAAGAGCACAAACAAAAATTCACTAAGATTCAACGTAGTGTTTAATTGGAATTATGTAACACTGGTTAAAGTGAATGTAAGCTAAATCTATGTTCAAACGATGAGAAGCTAAATGTGTGCACAAAGTAAACGAGACACCACAAGTCTAGACAAAGGTCTAGAACAAATCCACCACAACAAGAAAGCAATTACAATTGTAGATGGTATCCCCGGTCTTGTCTACCACTCTTTTCTACATGGATCTAACAGACCTTGTGAAAAAGGGGAGTGGTATAAAGGATGGCTTACGGACGAAGTAAGAGATTACCACTTCCACAAGTCTATGTTCTTATAAATTGAAGCTCTTAAACGAAAAATAGAGGCTCAAATGTTAGTGTTGGATAGAACTAGGAATCGAATTGGGGACAATCTACGGTGTAGAGTTGTACCGTATAGAGTTGTGTAATTCCAAATAGGTTGTAATCGGTTTAACGATTAGCTTATCAGATTCTAGTTTTAAAAAGCGTACGACTTGGTGCTTTCCAAGCTAAGAAAAATCCTGTTACATTAGGTTTTTCACACTTACAACTAGCTCTAAACCAACCATTAATTTTTAGCAATCAAAATCAGAGCCACAAATAGGTCTCTCAGTCGGATCCAAGGTTACAACCAAAGAATCACACATGTTCTAACACACGGACGGGTTGTGTTCCAACAAAAAAAACTTGTACTAGTTAAGGTAGGCCGAGTAACAAACTTGTAACATCCCAACTCGGGATTTCCTGAGATAACTGGAATTGGATATATTATGTCGATGGTCTAACCTCATTTGCTTAACCACCTAGTTTGGTCCAGTGATGAACAACAGGAGTGACAGGACCGAAAATATTTGTGTAGCAATAATCATCTTAGATTTTAGATCTGGTTCTAACCTAAAAAGAAAAAGGAGGGGTGAGCAACTGGGAAAATGAGTGAACCTTAAGAGGTTCATATCACTACCAACATATTAAGACATAGAGATTAAGAAAATTCAATTCCTAAAACAAGCTCAAGCAGGACTCAATTTCAAAATCTCTAGACGTTAAACACAAGGAAACAATCCTCAGGTTTACTAAGTTTGTTTTCCGTCAATTCGTCCTTAGGCCTTAGCTCATCATCATGCTTAAGGCATGGCAAACTCCTTCATGCTCATGGCATGGCAACCCCCCGTCAATTCATCTCATACACGAGGTAAGGTAATTATTCATCTTTTAAGTTATTCAATAAATACTTTAGTTTCCAAACAAGAGCAAAGCTCTGCAGAGGATGAGATTTTATCCTGCCTTCCTCCCAGGATAGGGGGATAAGCCTCCCATCTGTGATATGCTGAGCCTGACATATCACCGTTAGTCACACAGATAATGAGTGGTTCGCCACAACCACCTACAGATGAACTCTGTTGGTCTAGTAGACACCACACAGCCGTCCAACAACGAACCACAGGATCGCCTATGACGAGTACCTTACTCGATCTACTCACCAAGGTCATTTAATAATTCCTACCAAGTAATTTTTTATGTTTTAAAACTTCAAACCAAAGATCACACAACTTGTCAAACATTTAACTTTTTTTTTTTTTAACTCTCTTAAAATAATCTCTAGCAACTTATCTCATCATCAATCATTAATCAGCAATCATATCATCAACACAGACCATCATCAACGCATTACAATCAAGCAGATAGTAGCTATGGTTTTAAATGGGACTAAACTACACCCTATATCATAATATGCAAGAGTTGGATAGAAAACATGTAACGTCCCTGATCCGCAATAGGATCGTCGGGACGGACCATGGCCGTGAAGGGGGGGGGGAAGAATGGTCCGGAGTCTAAGGAAAGACTCAAGCCATGGTCCAAAATAATGGGTTAAGTTCGTTAATGTGGGACTTAGCCGGGAAAAAGAGGGAAATATAGCTCAATAAGGAGGATTGAGCTAAGATGAGCTGGATGGTTAAGCTAAGCTAGCTGGATCAGCTGTCGAGAAGCTCAGCTCAGCTGGGTTAAGAGTAAGACAGTTGGTCTAGTCTGGGTTAAGAGTAAGACAGTTGGTCTAGCTGAGTGGTAAGTAAGCTAGCTGGACTGGGGTAGTTATGGGTGGTTATGGGCGGTTATGGCCGAATGGTCGCAAACGTTATTCTACCAAACAACACCCCTGTTCGACCAAACCATACACACATATTCGCACCAAGGCGGTTACAACAGGAAAAATCTATAAATAGATCCCTTTGTCCACATTTTTGGGTACGCACAATTAGGGGAAAACTCTGCCCAAATTACAAAAGAATCAAGAGAAAAGAGAGTACCGAAGGGACGGTGGGTGAAGGCCGGATCGGCGTTGTGCAGGTCACAAGGACAAGGAATCAAATCCGACCGTGTGGCTAAGGTATGTTAATCCTGGCTTAGAACGCACAGATCTAGACGACGGGATTACCGGTATGGCTGGTGAACGGTTATAATGGTTTTACTTGGTTTGGATCAGACCTGTGTGGTTTGGCCATAGGTATGACAAGTCATCGGCCATGGAATCTAGATTGGGCCAGTGGTTGTTGTTTGTATGACGGAAAAAACTCCATGGGGACAAGTGACCACGGATGAACCGAATGGCTTGAAGATCGGATTAGTTCTACCGGGATTCGACTAATTCTGGCGGTTGGCTTAGACCCCGGAGATAATTGATCTGCTAGAGAGATTAGGATCGTATGGGGAAATAATGCATAATCACGCATGCACATGCATATGTTATATCAAGTAAAAGTAAAGATACTTATATTGTTGGATTTATAGGAAAAGATGGTGATCAAGGGAAGGATTTGGCTTAACCGCCCGGACCATTTAGGCAGAGAGGATGGGTGGTGTATTAGAACGGATAGATAGGATCATATACACTTGTAAGAGCTTATATGCAGAATCAAAAGTTGTAATGAATCCTTTTAATTATCAAAAAAATATCCGTTTTTGTTTGTTAAAACCACATATTAACTCTAACTTAGTGAATCCAAGAATACACATCTTGAATACAGATTATCTAAAAGACTTGACCCTAAAAATACTGTTGGATTCGGAGCCACTTAGTGGTCTGATGAGGGCATAGAACCACAAGCTCCACCTATACCAGCCGTGAGACAAGGACCAAGAACAAGATCCGGAACTAGAGTCTTGAGAGAGGAGTTTAATCAAGCTATTGAAGCCTTACTTAGCATCCACGAGCAAGAAGACTCTTTGTACCCAAGCTTTAAGGCCATGGTCCAAGAAAGAAGCCTGGAAGAGCCTAATAAAGGAGATGCCTATCTCATACAAGACGGCCCAACAGCTGAATTACCACTTCTCCGACCCAACAAAGAAGTGTCCTTATTTCGCATCAGCATCACACCAACTTAAGACCATCCTAGCCGTCCAACCCACCAAGGTAAGGGAATGAATACGTTTATTTACTTGCCTACTATGTTTTTTCAGTCTTTGGTTTGTTTTACAGGTTCCATTCATAGTTTTTAAGTCTTAGAATATTTCTTTAGTTATTGTACGAGTCTGTTCCTTTAGAGTCCCAGAAAGTTGTGTCCTTTTTATGTAATTTGCTTCAAGTCCCCAAGAAGGGCAAAGCTGCATTGAACTCTCTTATAAAGTCCCTTATAAGCAGCCGTGTATCTTTTACCCTACCATCAATAAAATAACGCAGTTCTTCAAGCTTTGGTCTTGTCTTTGAATTCTTTGAATTCGTTTAAGAGTTGGTGTTTGATCCTTCTCTTGAGAGTTGGTGTTTGATCCATCTCTTGCTGGTCTTATCAGAGTTCAGTCCATAGAGCTTTGTGGCGACCCTCGTTCCACCGTGTGCATCTTCATTCGCTTCATTCCTTGACTCAATTAGAGAGAGTTACAAAACCAACTGATCGAGTTCCATCATCCTTTCATATCAAACCCATTCCTGTTCTTGTTGAGAGAGTTACACAACCAACAACAAGGATTCATCCCCATCTATAGGCCCATGCCTATATCATCTGGTATCAAAGCCGAAAGGTTCCAAAACCAGGTTTTATCTTTTCATACCTTTCGGTTAATTCTCTTTTGCATATTTTTTTTCTTGTCGCACACTTATTCAAAAAAAAAAAAGAGTTCTAATCGGTTGCATACATCGCATATCATCTTGAGCATTCATCTATATCTAGAATCATTCTCCTTAGCATCATTCATAGCATCGACTAGTTGCGGCTTATTGTTAGAACGAAAATTCTGTCAAAAGCCCTAGTTAGCCATAAAAAGAAAGTTTTCATAATCACGTATATAAAAAAAAAAGGAAAAGAGTTTACATTTCTTTAACATTGCACCGTCGTTTTACTGCATTAAAAGAAAAGGAAAGAACAAAAAAAAAAACAACATTTAGTTGTATTTCTATTTCTCTTTTGCACTTGATCCTTGTTTGCTCTTGAACGTAGACACCAAACATGGGAGACAATACCGCACCTCTACCAGAATTCATGCAGCAACTACTCGACGGTATGAGGACTCTGAGCGACCGTCTTAACTTGATGGAGCAACGGTTGCCACCACCAGCCCAACCCGACAACAATGGGAACCAACCAAGGCAACAACATGACCCCGATGGAGAAGAGACTGATGATGACATGCCTAGTCTCGAAGATGAACTTCCACCTGACCCAAATTACCGGCGTGGCAGACGGGATAACCATGGCCAAGGCCAGAATCAGCGCCGTGAAAGAGGGAGGAGCCAAGAGAGATAGAGAAGACGAGAGATATGGGGGCAAAGATCTTAAACTTACACCACCTACCCTTGCTGGAAAGGTCAACCCCGAGGCTTACCTGGATTGGGAAAGAAGAATGGATCATATCTTTGATTACTACCAATATTCCGAAGCCAAGAAGGTGTCTCTAGCCGTCGCACAACTGACCGACAATGGTCTCACATGGTGGGACCGAGAAGTCTCTGAAAGACGGAGGTTAAGACGTGGCCAGATCACCACTTGGGAGGACATGACATTCCACCAAAGGAAGAGGTATGTGCCCGCTTATTACTTTAGAGACTTACAGAAACGATTTCGGAAGTTGTCTCAGGGAAACAGGCCCGTAGAAGAGTACTACAAGGAGTTTGAGACCATCAGAAATCGATTAGAGCTTCAAGACTCGGAGGAGACATTGATGGCCCAATTCGTTGATGGCCTCCAAGATAGAATAGCGAGAAAAGTAGAGTGGCAGAGCTATGAGCACATGGAGGATCTACTGCACTTTGCTATACAAGCCGAGCAGCATTTCAAGAAGAAAGCAGCCACTAACCGAGGAAAGTCTACTTGGACTCAACCCTTCTCTAAACCGATGGACAAAGGCAAATCCATAGAAGTGGAAAATCGGTTCAAAATACCAGCTTCCGGGCCGACAAAGCCGGCTCCGCATGAGCAAGGTAAGGCCCCTAATCAAAGGTCTCGAGATATAACATGCTTTAAGTGTCAAGGAAAAGACCACTTTGCAAAAGAATGCCCGAATCAAAGAGTAATGGTATTGAGAGACAACGGAGAGTATGAGTCACAAGATGAGGCCGAGCTAGAAGCCATTGACTCAGAAGAAGAGGAAACCGATTTCCCTGAGGTTGGAGAGATGTTGGTAATCAGAAGATCTCTTGGTGCTCTAAGTGACCCCGAGACACTCCAAAGAGAAAACATCTTTCATACAAGATGTAGCATTGGAAACAAGGTATGTAGTCTCATTATAGATGGTGGCTCTTGTACTAACGTGGCTAGCAAGTATCTTGTAGACAAGTTAGGTCTTGAAAAGACAAAGCACCCAAGCCCATACCGATTAAAATGGCTCAATGATACCATGGAGGTGAGGATTGCGGAGCAAGTTGTTGTGCCATTCAGTATTGGGAAGTATCGTGATCAAGTCACGTGTGATGTTGTACCTATGCAAGCCGGTCACCTGCTTCTTGGGAGGCCATGGCAATTCGACAAAGAAACCATGCACAACGATCGCACCAACTACTAATCTTTCACTCACAACAACAAGAAGCACAATTTAGCCCCTCTCACACCATCAGAAGTTCATGAGATGCAACAGGCCATGAACAAAGGGAAACAACTAAGTAAAACTAATCTATTTGTCTCACCGAGTACAATTCTTAAAACTCTTGATCACAAACAACCAGTATTACTTATGATCTTTAGAGAAAGTCTGTTTTCAGGTAATGAGGAAGGTCAAGAGCTCCCACACGAGATAACTCAGCTATTAGAAAAGTTCCAAGATGTCTTTCCAGAAGAGATACCAGCCGGCCTCCCACCCATAAGAGGCATTGAGCACCAGATCGATCTAGTATCCGGAGCACCAGATCGATCTAGTATCCGGAGCACCCTTGCCTAACCGAGCCGCATATAGAGTTAACCCAACAGAGGCCAAAGAGCTAGAGGCTCAAGTCCAGGATTTAATGTCTAAGGGATACATAAGAGAGAGCCTCAGCCCGTGTGCAGTACCCGTCTTGTTAGTGCCCAAGAAGGACGGCTCTTGGAGGATGTGTGTGGACTGTAGGGCCATTAACAACATCACCATCAAATACAGGCACCCAATTTCGAGACTAGACGACATGTTGGACGAGTTAAGTGGAGCTACTATCTTTTCAAAGGTGGATCTAAAGAGTGGCTATCATCACGTGAGAATGAAGGAAGGAGATGAGTGGAAAACTGCGTTTAAGACCAAGCAAGGTCTATACGAGTGGCTTGTGATGCCTTTTGGTCTCACAAACGCTCCAAGTACCTTCATGAGACTCATGAACCACGTCTTGAGAGCATACATCTGTAAGTTTGTAGAGGTTTACTTTGATGATATTCTGATTTACAGCCAGTGCTTAGAAGATCATATTAAGCATCTTGAACAGGTTCTAAAGACACTTAGATTCGAGGGTTTATATGCAAATCTTAAGAAATGTATCTTCTACACTGATCAATTGGTATTTTTAGGATTTGTTGTAAGTTCTCAGGGTCTTAAAGTGGATGAGGAGAAGATTAAAGCCATCCAAGAATGGCCCACACCATCCACGGTTGGACATGTTAGAAGCTTTCATGGTTTGGCAAGCTTTTACAGGCGCTTTGTCAAGGATTTCAGTACCATAGCAGCCCCATTGACCTCGGTGATCAAGAAGAACACTACTTTCACTTGGGGGCCGACTCAAGAAGCCGCATTCAACAAGCTGAAGGAGAGCCTCATACAAGCACCGGTTTTAGTCCTTCCTAACTTTGATAAAATGTTTGAGGTTGAGTGTGATGCATCAGGTACTGGCATAGGAGCTGTTCTAACTCAGGGAGGGAGGCCAGTAGCTTACTTCAGTGAGAAGCTAAGTGGAGCAACACTCAACTACCCAACTTATGATAAAGAACTCTATGCTTTGGTGAGATCACTAGAAACGTGGCAACACTATCTGCTTCCAAAGGAGTTTATCATTCACACAGACCACGAGACCCTCAAGCACTTAAGAGGCCAGACCACACTTAAGAAAAGGCATGCCTGATGGTTAGAGTTCGTAGAAACCTTTCCATATGTGATTAAGTACAATAAGGGGCAAGAGAACGTTGTAGCCGATGCACTTTCAAGGCGTTACACTCTCATCTCTACAATGGAAGCCAAGATCATGGGTTTTGAGCACATCAAGGGTGGATATGAATCTGATCCCGACTTCTCAGAGGTCTACAAAGAAACTACAAGGGCCGCATTTGGAGTATTTTACCAACAAGATGGATTTCTATTTAAGGAAAAGCGGTTATGCATCCCACAAGGGTCCATGAGGGAGTTGATCACTAGGGAGGCTCATGGAGGCGGGTTAATGGGACACTTTGGCCGAGACAAGACACTGAGCGTGCTGATGGAGCACTTTTACTGGCCACACATGCGAAGAGATGTGGAGCAGCTATGCACCAAATGCATCATTTGTCTCCGAGCTAAGTCCAGGTTACACCCTAATGGTTTACATATGCCTTTACTTCCTAATGCATCCTGGGTGGACATTTCTATGGACTTTGTTCTAGGCTTGCCTAAGATACACAAAAAGACTCCATTTTTGTAGTAGTAGACAGGTTCTCAAAGATGGCGCACTTTATACCATGTAACAAGACCAATGATGCAACTCAAACAGCTGATCTCTTCTTTAAGGAGGTCGTGCGTCTTCATGGAGTGCCCATGACCATTGTTTATCGAGACACAAAGTTTCTCAGCCATTTTGGAAGACATTGTGGAAAAATCTTGGCACCAAACTTTTATTCTCCACCACTTGTCATGCCCAAACGTATGGACAAACAGAGGTAGTAAACCGTACACTCTCAACCTTATTGAGAGCCACGGTTGGTAAGAATCTCAGGAATTGGTTATCTTGTCTACCTTTCATTGAATTTGCTTATAATCGTTCCAAACACTCCGCTACTAACCAATCTCCTTTTGAAGTTGTCTATGGGTTCAACCCTCACACGCCTTTAGACCTTATTACTTTGCCACCAGCCATCTATTCAAGCGCAGAAGGAGAAGCTAAGGCCGATTTTGTGAAGAAGCTGCACCAAAAAGTTAAAGAGAAACTGGAGAAAAAGAACGAAAAGGACAAAGCAAGAATTGATAAAGGGCACAAGGAGGTTACCTTTGAACCAGGAGAGTGGGTGTGGTTGCACATGAGGCAAGAAAGGTTCCCACAACAAAGAAAATCCAAGCTTGCACCAAGGGGAGATGGGCCATTCCGAGTCTTGGAGAAGATCAATGACAATGCATACAAGCTGGAGCTGCCAGGTGAGTTTAATATATCTCCTACTTTCAATGTTACTGACTTGTCTCCTTATGTTGCAGATGAACCTGTTCTGAGGTCAGAACCTTCTCAAGAGGGAGGGGATGATGAGTGCATAGAACCATAAGCTCCACCTATACCAGCCGTGAGACAAGGACCAAGAAAAGGATCCGGAACTAGAGTCTTGAGAGAGGAGTTTAATCAAGCTATTGAAGCCTTACTTAGCATCCACGAGCAAGAAGACTCTTTGTACCCAAGCTTTAAGGCCACGGTCCAAGAAAGAAGCCTGCAAGAGCCTAATAAAGGAGAAGCTTATCTCATACAAGACGGCCCAACAGCTGAATTAACACTTCTCCGACCCAACAAAGAAGTGTCCTTATTCAGCATCAGCATCACGCCAACTTAAGACCATCCTAGCCGTCCAACCCACCAAGGTAAGGGAATGAATACGTTTATTTACTTGCCTAATATGGTTTTTCTGTCTTTGGTTTGTTTTACAGGTTCCATTCATAGTTTTTAAGTCTTAGAATATTTCTTTAGTTATAGCACGAGTCTGTTCCTTTAGAGTCCCAGAAAGTTGTGTCCTTTTTATGTAATTTGCTTCAAGTCCCCAAGAAGGGCAAAGCTGCATTGGACTCTCTTATAAAGTCCCTTATAAGCAGCCGTGTATCTTTTACCCTACCATCAATAAAATAACGCAGTTCTTCAAGCTTTTGTCTTGTCTTTGAATTCTTTGAATTCGTTTAAGAGTTGGTGTTTGATCCTTCTCTTGAGAGTTGGTGTTTGATCCTTCTCTTGAGAGTTGGTGTTTGATCCATCTCTCGCTGGTCTTATCAGAGTTCAGTCCATAGAGCTTTGTGGCGACCCTCGTTCCACCGTGTGCATCTTCATTCGCTTCATTCCTTGACTCAATCAGAGAGAGTTACACAACTAACTGATCGAGTTCCATCATCCTTTCATATCAAACCCATTCATGTTCTTGTTGAGAGAGTTACACAACCAACAACAAGGATTCATCCCCATCTATAGGCCCGTGCCTATATCATGGTCCGACCGGGAACAACCTCCACGGGATAGAGTATGGGATGGGGTGTTTCTAGTTGGTATCAGAGCATGCTTGCTCCTAGGACGGTTTAGTGTTGGGTTTTGGGTACACCACTCATCTGCTAAAAAGATCTCACACTAGGTTGTTGCTTAGACTTGTCTAGGAATTCTGGAAATAATTAGGGTGCACTAACTAAACGATTTTTGTAGATGGGTAAACGAAACAAAACAGAAAAGAGTAAGAAGAATAATGAAACGGCTGAAACAAGTCGGGCCAATGCGGTGGATCCGCCTACTCTAAGCTCCATCGGACCTAGGACTGGGAAAAAGGAGAATGGTAATAAAAGTCCGATTGTTCATGGTCAGACCAAGGTTGTGGATCACGGAAAGAGTCCGATGACAGACTAAGCTATGGGTCGTGATGCTACGAACCGTGCAGATATGGCCAAGACATCGGCTAAGGGTGCTAGAGATAAGGATGGTGCGGCGGCTGGAACGGGAAACCAGACCATAGTTCCTACTCCTGCGGATATGTGGCAAACACTCTAAACCATTATAACGCTGTTGGCAGTCTTGAGTCAAACTGTTGCCCCGACAGGAAATTCATCTGATGGGCAATCCACGGGGATTCATATGGCTGTTCCAATAGTGAGTGAGAAACAAGGCGTGACTTCAGAAGTGGTGGAACTAAATTCATCACCGGTTAAACTAGCAAGAAAAGTGGATTACCTGGTCGTTTTAGATCATGTATCCAGGTTGGGAACTAGGCAATTCAAAGACAGCTCCGACCCGATAGAGGAGGACGAATGGAGGAACCGTCTTTGTAAGAAACTTTCAATCTACGAGGTGCTCTGAAGATTACAAGAAGGATATCACGGTTCATTTCCTTGAAGGGGATGCGCATAACTGGTGGATCTCGGTGGAAAAGCGATCAGGAGGTATTGACACTTTAGCCGAGTTTGAGGCCGAGTTCAACTAGAAGTACTTTCCCTCAGAAGCTTGGGATAGACTTAAACAAGAATTCTTGATTTAACCTAAGAAAACCGGACAGTCCAGGAGTACGAGGGGGAGTTCAACCGTCTTCGACGGTGTGTTGGAGGAGAGTTGGTCAAAGAGGACACACAGATCCGGCGATTCCTCCACGGTTTAAGAAGAGATCTCCGAACCCATTGCTCCTCACGCCCGATCT